CTTGAAATCCATTGACCATCTGTACAACATTAACCATCGTATGAGAGCAGCCAATAATTATGCCGTCATTTCCCACCGCTAACTGACACTTAATCGACTGTTATGTTTGACTAATATCGGCTAATGAAACGGTTGACATATGATATCTGGGCCAACGTATTGTATGGTAGCCGTACTAACACATACAGTTCTCCCAAGATATGTAAGAAATATCCAATTTCTTGATGACCACAGAACTACATACGGGTTTGGTACCGATTGACCGATTCCGGAGTATGGATGGCTTAGTTGGCCTGACCACGAGCACAGAACGCGCCCATCAGCGCAGCAGTAGAGCCATCAAAATGGATAGAGATAACGGACCATGAGATTCCTCTGTGAAGTCTATGGTATATAATGTTCCCAGGGACTCCCAGTGGTCCGGGATTCGTTCCTGGGAATATGCGTCTTTGATAGTACAGCACCATTGGGAACGACAATCCCCAGAACGGATCCCAGCATCCAATACAACCACTCCCTTGTCTCCCACGTTCGCTCTTTCATTTGCATACCGCCCGTTCTTGTCAACCTTTCGGCAACCCGGGAACGATGTGTTAGGTCGCATAAAGGGGATATTTGTGTTGAAGATGGCCATTTTCCGGTGCTAAGCTTTATTTGACTGAAGTTATGTCGTTGTACACAACTCCTTCTTTTTCATATCCTGCCCCCTTTCCTGCTTGTAAGTGGGGTCCCCTTTATGCGGTTGTACGCAGGTTTTTTGTGATTACAGTATTCACCACTGGAGGTAAGCAGCGGAAATATTATTTATTTAGGATGGTGTTCCTTCACGGAGATCATACCGACGCCATGCGTCTGTAAACAAAGATTCACGAGTGGCGATTAATAGCAATCTCATCATGATTAATAAAGATTCATGCAAAATGAAAATAGCCTTGAATGAAAACAAGCTATCTCCCTCAGATCTTCATAATATATAGCCAGACATAACTTCGTTCTACAGAAGCTGGCTGCCCATCTTCAGTCGAATCAATTTTGGTAGAGTTTTTTGGTAGAGTTCAGAGAATTCCATAGGTTGCGCTGAAGAAGTGGAGGGAGGGGGAACAATTCCGCTGCAAGAACTAACATTCAGTTAGATATTAATTGACAGTTTAAAGATCAACTTTGCTCAGAAAAACAGCACTTCTTTCTCCTTCAGAGAAGCTCTTTTCATTTTAACAGCTACTGTTCTGGTACTACTCTGGGATTATACTGGAATCGAATCCGGGCTCATACTGCCGAAATTAACCGATAGCGCAATCTCTCTGGAAATTAGTTGGTACCAGATTGGACTGATAGGATGAAAGCACTGACTTGTACCTCAGCTTGCAACTACAACTTCTTGTACAGGCCATATACACATTCACAAGCTACTACGAATCTGAATGGAGGTCGATTGTGGGGCCCATCCCAATTTACGAGTCGATAAGCGTCAGCGGCCCTACCTTTTTCTGTAGTCATCGCTTGCACAAAATCTCAGTTCGCCTATGGTTTCATATCCGATTTCATAAGAACCGTGGATATCCGAAAATGATTTTGAACCAGTTCCTCTGTTGTTACTGCTCGGTTACTGGCTAACCCAAGGTTGTCCGTTGGGTTTACCTTTCCGTAAAATTGTAAGCACGTGCAATCTGTGCGTCACCCCTTGTCGAAACCTCGGTATTTGATGCCGAATCGTGTTGACTTCTTCTGCCAAACGAGGTTAGTCAACGTCGCGTTCGGCCAAAGAAGTCAACATAGTCGTTCAAGTTCTATTGCTATTGTGTACTTGCCCGGCAATAACATAAGAGTGGCCAAGAATACCGGTAAATAACTATCTCGACATATGATGGGTTGAATGAATCATCAAAAACATGAAAGTACGAACCACCTTCATTCTTGGAGATCGGAACGAGGCACTACTCAATCTCAGTGTTGGTACACAGTAGGCGTCGCGATCAGACTGCCAGGGTCGTTAACTTTCGCTGTGAAGTCGGGGCATAGCAAGCGTTACCAGTGAAACGCTGGGTATCGATCCGTGCAGGCTGAGCGGCAATGAGCCAACGCAAAGTATGAATGCAGGCAGCGGCTTAAAATAGAAGTTGTTCAATTGAAATTTGTAAGCTGTGTGATCACGTTTTTTCCTTTTACCCTCCCTTTTCTTGTGCTCAGTCCAGCTTCTTCATCTTGTTTCTTAGCTATTCTGATTTATACTTTGACTTCATTCCTTCGCCTACTCATTATTTTCACGACAGGAATAAGTGGGACCGAGCAGGAGCTCTTCGTAGGCCATGACGACCAGGACGTGAAATTTCGACCTCGCAGCTATCATCACATCCAAGCGACAGCATGAGTCATGGCGAAACGAGTCTCTAGGGACCTTTGCCGCTCGAGTGATCTTCGATCACGCATGAAAATTCGCACCCTGGCTCAGTTCCGGTCCCATTTGATGGGACTGCGGGCAATGCCGTTTCGAGAAAAGTTTGAAACTCATGTCAATTTTTGATGTGGACGGAATGATGAAAGCAGACATTCTGATGAGACAACTTTTCTTTCGTTTGTATGACGTCGCCAGAGTGGACAGTTGATGGCCGTCACGAAACTTGATGTCTGACAGACACACTACACCTCCGCACATCCCCCATGAGGCATAGTTCTTCGATGACGCTATTGGAGTAGCCGTCTAGAGAATTCTATGCACTTGAACTTTGAGCTTCTGGATCTCTCAGAGCGCCGTCCTGTGGAATTCGCACATACCAGAAAACAACACTAAAGTAAAGGTCTACTACGCTAGATCACAGCCAATCGCATAGCTCAATTGATAGAATTCAAATCAAAACGAGACCTTTTTTTATTCAATGGCTCAATTGCGCCTGATCCATCAAGGCCCATTTATAGTAAGCGTCAAACTGTAGTAAGCGAATATGATAATCGCGTAGTTATACACTGCAATACACTCACTGCTCTCCTTTTTTGCATCTTCTTAGGTGAAAGTGAGAGCCATAAGAAAGAGCTAATTCATGGATTCACGGTTATACTCACGTCTACCGACCTGATTCCCTCTCCTGATTCATCTTAGTCTCCTTCAACTCTCGCGGACTTTGTCGTCACCAATGGAACTACATTTTTCTAATGAAGGGGTCCCTCTTGAAGGGGTCCCTCTCAGTTCTTTCCTTCTAATGCTTTTCTTATTCAAAATCACCAAAAGGGAGAAAATAATCGTAAGAACGGCACTAGAAAAGACAAAAGATGTTGGCTGCTGGGCCAGTCCTTTGATTTCACCCTTTCCCTTTCAATTCATCTTGTGCTGGAAATGTTTGGAAAAACTGTAATATAATGATGGGTCCTTCAGATATATGAGTTACCCATTCAACTAGCCAATGAATTTTTTCTTGAGAAATTCAGCAAGAGCACTTTGTAGAACAAGGATTTGAGTAAAGTAAGGATTTGATAGGTGAAGAGCTGCCGAAGTGGTTCGAACAGCTACGGTGCAGCCCGTGAACCTTACGTCCTGACCGGGGTAGGTTACTGTAATAAATTCCTGTAGTAATTCTCCGCTACACAACATAAAAACTTTGACATACACTTTTCAATCAATGCTTTTACGCGATAGGCGTTGCCAGACAGGGGCGGGATCCAGCAAGTGGGGTTAGCCCATTATGAGCCTATCTCTCAGAACGAAGAGCTCATAACCACACTTTCGAGGATTCATTATTTGCTTTCGAATTGCTAAGAGGCTCAAATTGCACTCCATAGCTAGCCTGCATATCTCTTTCGTTTACCAGTTTTCAAGGAATCCTTAATCCAAACAGCTCTCACCGTACTATTATCCACGTGAAAAGGAGGCTTTGTGTAGTCGCACCATTACGGTCTTGGTATGGTACAGCAACTAGAATGACCTCTTTCTAGCATTTTCGCAAATATACTGACTAATGGCTTCGTTCATTCATTTTAATACTTTGTTGTACTGTCAAGGATGCATCAACCTCAACGGGATGAAAAACAGCGGAATTGTTATTTTTGGTTCGGGAGAACTCATTCTGGCCTCCATTTTTCATTTTTACTCTGATAATTACATCTGCTTTAATCATGAGTTCTCCTCATCAACGGATGTCTGGATATCCTTCTCGGTATCCTTCTAATTTTCTTTCAAGCAGACTTCAAATCCTCTAAAGGTCCCTCGATAGCTCTTCTCTGTGGCAGGAAATACTAGTTGAACGTTCTACTAATGCACGGCTATGATGCCCCAAACGAGGAAGAGGTCGTTCATGACAATCTAATGAAAGTACTGAAGAGTATTGTATGGGGTCCAGTAGGCCGTGAAATCAACCTACCAGTGAACGTGGCACAAATGGGCTTCTTATTTATGAGTTTCTTTGGAGCATTATGGCAGTCATAGTCATAAGTTACGAGTAAAGGTCTTAACTGGGTAAGTGTTCAGATGCTAAAGGGACGAGCGAAAAAATGGTCGGGTAGCCCCCATAATTGATAGCTCGCACCCCTGAGTACAACTCCTTTGTGACTTGAAAAATGTGAGAATCACAGCGCTTGGGAATTCGTGCTTCCCCTGACTAGACCGCCTTTGCTCTTTTGCAAATAATTTATTCGAAGCCTCTAATCACTTCCTAAAAGCCCTCCAACAGTCTAAAAGCCCTTGAAAGCAGGATTGACGACTTTTTCAGAAGTGTACAGCTTTTTCTGAGCCAGGGACCAAGTAATCCATGTGGTGGACGGGACAAAGACAAAGGAAAATCATATTCTTGCTAACTTATTTTTAATTTGAAAAAATAATTCTGGAAAACGTAGAAATGAACTAGAAAGGAATATAAGAGCCTAAGTAATAACCCAATGAACTTCTAAGTGTACTTATTCCTATTGAGCTTTGAAAAACTGTTCTCATTCGGTATATCTCGCCATTTGCCGATCATCACTTGTATTGACGTCTCCTCATATTTGAAATTGGATTTTGATAAATTAAAATTCAGATGACATGGGTCCCACCTGTATTCATTCTTTGTCTAGTCATTGAAACCTCATCTGTCATTCTTCGATTTCAAGGAGTTGCCCCATCATTGACACTCGACCGTATTCATACGTTAAGAGATAGTATCGAGAAGTTGCAGCACATCAATGAGAAGGTCCGATGTCGAATAAAAGGTGCCACAGTTGTTTTTCTTTTGCTTTTTCTTTTGTTTGTAAATTATTCATGCGTCTGGTTGTAAACGCAGGTCGGGTTTTGTTTTAACAATAGAGGGCAAAAGTGTGAGACTCGTCTGAGATGGCAGTGAATTGCTGATCCTCTTGAATCCACCAGCAATGAATCCGAATTTGGTCATAGACGGTCAGGAGTCCCCTCGAGGTCGCGCCATTGAACGCGGCACCCTCAAGGGGACTCCTACGCATTCTCCGATGAGTGATCCATACTAGGAGACGGGCAGTAGGAACGGTTTTGCGTAGTCGATCCGCCGCATGCGGCTGTCGCGGACCATTTGCCTCGTTATAACAGTTCTAGCGTTCTTCTTACAACTCAATCGCTATGCGATTATTACTTTTGGCATGATCCTACTGGTAGTTCTTTTGTTCCCGTATTTCTTACTTGCTGCTACATTCTGCTACATTCCTTCGCGCGCGGCGTCTCTTTCGCCGCGACGCGACTATTTAGATCCTACTGCAGCAC